TGTCTCGATCAGGTAGGCCGTGTAGTACTCGCTCAGGTTGATGGCACCGTTGTAGCGTCGCTCCGACTCGGACACACTGATCTCCAGCACGGACGAGAGAGGCCCCTGGCGGCTAGCGGCGGCAGCCTCCGTCACACGTGGGACTCGGACGGCAGACCACGCAAGCAGCTCAGACAACACACGGTGCCGCACGCAACTCGGCGCTGATCTCCAACAGGGATGAGCAGGGCCCCTGGTGGCAGAGGCGATGGCGGCCTCCTTCCCATGCAGTGCTCGGATGGCAGGCCATATGAGAGCCCCAGACAACACGCAGTGTTGCTCGCAACCAGGTGCACGCAACAGCAGCTGTACAATCTGATGTATATTGATGAGGAAAGTGACTAATGGAAATAATCATCCCCAAGATCACCAGAAAGCAAAAAAATGTATTTCCAAAGTAAACAAAGAACTTTCCCAAAGCAGACATCCAGCAATCTCAAAGGACAATTGAGGCAACACAAACCTACACACTTAAAATGACCATCAATTGTGTGACACTAGAGCATGCTGCAGGTTATATAGCAGGGACCTGCCATCAAAGGTGAAGACAACTGTCTTTACCAGTTAAACTATGCATGATTATGAGCAAAGCAAAATTTACATACCTTTTTAGTGCCTGGCTCTTCAGCATTTTTGGCTGCTGAAGGTGTCTCTGAAGCTGCTTGGTCGTGCGAGGCAACTAAATTACCCTTATCAGAACAAACAGTTTCACCCCTGTCCTCTTCCATGCTAAGTTAGTTACTTTTGCTGGGTTACTGTGACAAAGTCATCATATTTTCATCAGCACAAATGGTTCATAGATTAATCAGGATTGGAACATCTCATCCCACTGCATTTGATGTGATATGAACTTCGGCTCATGAAATACATCACTGAATCAAGGATAAGAATTGCTTAGGAACAATCTACCCTGCCACCATGAAATGAATGCAAATTTGAATTTTCATGAACCTAAATACATTTATGAATTTGAATAATGATTCCAACAGTGAGTCTGTACATGAAGTGTGTCAAAAAAACTTGAGTGTGTTGAACTGTGTTATGCATGGGGATAAGTATGGCCTAATATGTAGCATGCATGGAACTTTATGATCTATACATGTTTGGACACATGCAACTTACTTACTTAACTTGATTACCTAGAGTTCCTTGTCCTTACTTAGATGAAGCTTAAATGTATAATGGAATTTATGTGCATGTGCATCTTATTGACTAAACTTGATTACATAGAGTACCTTGTCCTTACTGAAATGAAGCTTAAATGTATAATGGAACTTATCTCAACTCAACATACCTGCACATGCAGGTTTACCATATCTAGGTATCCATGTCTGATAACTATGCTTCTTTTTGCTACATAAAAATGCAACTAATTGTAAGAACCCATGCTACCCTTTTTTCTTTTACATTAATATAAGTGATACAGCACTTTAAAGAAATCACAATTTTGAAGTTAAGCTAAATCATTATACAACACAGCAGTTTAAGGATCAAACTTTTTGCACAAATATTCAGAGATTACTAGGAACCAGTGGTGTCAGGAACAGACATAGGTCTAATAGGCACAATATCCAAGCATAAAACACTGGTGATGAGTAAAAGTGCAAAAGGTCAATAATAAATATGTTTGGCCATCTCAGCCTTTAGCCAATGTTTACCTCACTTGACTTTTCAATGGGTGCATACATAAAAACAAGCACAAAAGCTATTGGAAACTTCTTGTTAGTGATCATACAAAATGCCTAAAGGCTGATACTCTTAGTTACTTTTTTGCACACAGCCTGCAATGAAGAATGCACCAAACAGAACATGTATCATTAATGTTTGTTTCTGCAAAGTATTCATTCTTTCCATTAATGTATAAGCAGTATTTTTAGCCTCAGGCAATTTGGACATTTCTTAGCATAATAATCAAGAGATTTTAGCCTGATTGGGCCCATGTTGGATGATAATGTGGGCTGGAGTGCATGAGTTATTTTGTGAAGGCATCACGCATTCAGCCTAACACAGAAAGAGGGGCAAAACCCATCTGGACAATAACAGATATACCAGCTCCTACAAAGGAAATTCTGGAAATGTACAAAATAGATGCATGATGGCCTTCATAGTGATACAAATTGCATGCTCTCAAGCAGATGCACACATCACAAAACATGGCAAATTAATATTTAACCAGTGATTTCAGGGTGAAGACTTGACACTGAGCACATTTCCTTGCAGAAAATCGGCCCTGCTGAGTGTATATCATATTGGAGACATTCTATTGGCATGTAAACAGCGTTAGTGCTAAGCCTCAGAGGGCGTGGGACAGGATATTTTTGGTGGCAAAACATTACAAAATTAATATCGTTGTTCATGATACAACTATGTATTCAGTAACTCTCAAAATTTTACTCTAATTTCAAGACATCCCAAACGCCGGCAATCAACTGCAACCTGTACCCGACGACAATGAACTGGCCTTACAGCACGACTAGGATCAAGGACCACGCTAATCTCAGCTGATTGGGGGTTAGCAGGAACAGCTTTAAAATGCTGTCAAACGACGCGCTTGGCATACATAAAAGTTGGGCTTGTACACTATAATCATGTCATTCGCATCTTTCGAGTAGTTGGATTCGTTTGTTTCAAAAGACACATACTGTATGAAATTTAACGTCTCTGTCTCAAAAATACCCTTATATAACACCTAACAATTACGACAGTCAGGTGTCTGTCGTGCCGCCACTGCTAATCAACTTGGCAAATAGTCGACCCTCGTGTTATCCAGACATGGTTAGAACGGCTAGGACTATTAAAGGCCATTCCACGCTGGCTGGTGGTCTGATAGAGCTGGTGGAAGTCTGTATGTCATGACACAACGAGGTGTCAGTCGAGCCCGGCGGGTTGCTCGCCGCATGGAAAGAACTGCATCCCAACCGCCTTCGCAACGTTTCTACGCCATGGCTTGACGCATTTAAGGCCAGGGGGCGACCAAGGGAGAAGAGGGTTCCTGAAATCCGCATGTGTTCTTTTTCACCTTGGATGGCTGCTGACAAAGTTAGAAACCGGCGTGATGTGCTCTCAACGAGCTCGGGCCTGAGCTCAATGTGTTCCGTCCCCCCCCCCCCCTTAACTGAACAGAAAAATTACACCCCTGTCTCCTGCGAAAACAACGAGCAAAAAGCACTTCATGGAAAGCACGGGATTTTTAAACATATAGTTCGAGGCGTTGGGAAGGATGTTGGCCTACCCGCCCCCCCCCCCTCAATGAATGATTAGGGCTTTCTTCAGGACACGACGGCCGAAATCGTGTTGTGCCCAACACAACCTTCCCAAGCGTACCCTCAGTGGTTTACAACGAATCTAACAGCCGTGTTAAACGGCGTCTTCTGTGCGCGCAACCGCGAAATGTGATACCATCTAGAGGTGAAGTTTTCGCGACGATTTTTCCCGTTTCTCGCGCGAAACGCCACGTGAACGCGACAGCCATGGCGCTACGTTCCACCGCGCGTGTCGCATATATTACACATAAGCGTGTTTATTTTTCAATACACATATCGCACATTTAGCAGTCGGCTGTTGAACCAAGGCTATTCGTTAGATGTCACTGTAGCGTCGTAGTATGGCCGAGTGTTTGTCGCGGGACGCGCGCGGTAGTGCAGTCTGTACTCAACCTCTGAGTAATTCGGTGCCCTGTGGTGATTTGCCGTTTAGATGCGTGTTTAAATCATATCTGCACACGTCATAGGCATAACAAGTGGGCTGGGTTTTTGGGCGTGGTGTTCGTGGTTTCATCGAGTTACTGACTGACCATTAGCCCTGTCGAAGTGCTCGTGGCAGCAACAAATAATGTCTCGCATAGAGAAGAAGAGGGGCACGGAGAACCATGTAGCATCATCTACCTCACATGGAGTGGCATGTGAGAATGGAGCAGCACGTAGCATCACCTACTTGCAACGTGGCACACGATATTTGTGATTACTCAGCCAGGGTGGTTTTATTGTCCGCAGGCCAACCAGGCACGTCACTCGCCATCAGTACGAGCCCGTCCATTGACCGCAACGGCGTAACAGCTGTGCAAGGCTGCCACGCCCACCGTCAGCAGCGTGTTTCACGGGCCTCAACCTCCGCACACGGGAAACAGCGTCATCTACTGACCCTAACGGCACGGCCGACAACACTGTCAGCCAAACCAAACATCGTTGGAGAGGCCCAACCGATAACACTATATAAAGACACCAATAATACAAAATGTCTATTACCAGCACCAGAGAGCATTTAAGGAATAAACACGGCAGCATAGCCTCCCTTATTGCAACAAACTTACATACGCTACCATGAGTCAATTTTCGCCATAAAATATCAACCTCAGGTCAACAATACAACAGATTTAACAAGATGCAGTCTATTCAAAAGAGCATATTACGCATCGTCCCAGGTCTGGGGATTTAAGTACATGATCATTGCTGAAGACGGGTCAGCGGAAAATAACAATGCACCACAATCCACGCTAGATCACTTCTTTTCAAGTCAGGAGGCTGCAGCGGCGGGCCCATCGGCCGCCCGAGCCCTCTAGGCCACCATTTCGGTCTGGCGCGCGGACCGGCGCGCGCGCGCCGCGCCGCCGACCGGGTCGGCCTCGAGCGGCGCCACCTTCGCCTCGCCGCAGTGGAATGCGCTGCCGGCCGGCCGTCTCCGAGCGGCCACCTCAGCGGAAGCCCGTGGCGCTGGCTCAGTGGCGCGGCCGCCACACAGAGGCGCCTCCGGCCGTCTCCGAGCGCGCGGGTCGACGCCAGTCTCACGTGGTGGCCGCGCGGCTCGCCACGGCCGCCACCAGGGCGGCGCCACGGCCGCTGCCGTCCTCCGACAGCATCAGCTGAAACTGCGGCCACGAGCAGACGATTAGCCAGGACCGGACACCCGCGGCCTCCAGCGGCCCCAGCCTTCCTCCTCCCGCGAGTTTAGAGCGGCCCACCTACAACGCAGACAGGCTTCCAGTCGCTGTATGGGGCCGGGCCGTGGCGGCCGACGATCCCGTGACCAGTCTGGCCGGTAGCAACAGACAGCCCCAGCGGCCGGCCGCGCCACAACCATGGAGCTCAAGCATCGCGTTCAGGGGTACGCCGCCGACGTGTCCACGGCGGCGGCGCTCAACACACGATTCTGCCGGCCGACGCGGAGAGAGCGGGGCGGCTGTCGGGCTGGTCGCAACCCACCTGCATGCCGGGCCGCACCAGCCGCTCGATCTGCTCACACATGAGCCGGTGCACGTGCGGGTGGTACCGGTACACGGATCCGTCCACGCCCACCGTCACGTTAGGCCGGTCCATCTTGTTGAGCAGCACGGCCAGGCCGGTGCCGACCAGGAAGGCGGCCCTGCGCACGCAGTCGGCGACAGGTCAGCACCGTGACGCCGGCCCAGCAGCACCGGCGTTACGCCACTACACGGCGTTCAGGTCAAAAGCCAACACTCATGATAGCGGCTCCACAGGTAGGTGCACAGGTCGCCACATTCTCCGCGCGCGCGCGCACGCGCACGAACGCACGCACACACAGCACGCACGCACGCACACAGTTAAAGATAGCCCAGGTGCCTGCCCCAACTGCCCCAACTTCGAACTGAAATCCGTGAGGATTGTCATCTGCACTGAGCAAAGAAAAACAAGAAGGCTTCATGCAATTATGTAAAGACCGCCATAAAGCTCGACAGCACGATGCTCGGAGGTTTACGACCCAAAGCACCCTGTCCCTTCCGCCCGCTGCCGACTAGCGCGCACCGCACGAGCGGACACGCCAGCCGGCGTCCCGCGCGGCAGCCGTCGCCCACCTCCGGGAGACGAGCTCGCACACGTAGCGCACGTGCTCGCAGTCCTCGTCGGTGGCGTCCTCGAGTCCCAGCTCCTCCAGAATCATGCGGCAGTTGGTGTGGTCGCCCGGCTGGTCACTGCAGCGAAAGTGCCGCCAAGTCGGGTCAGGCGCCAGCGCCGGGAGACAGCCCAACGATGGGCCGACGGAGAACACGCTCGCCACGTGGATACGATGACCACTGAACACGGCCAGGCGCCAATTATCATGAACCAGCGGACACGCAGGAGGGTGGACAGCACTTACACGCCACTAGGATGGCTAAGAAAAAGGAGAGTAGAGGGCAAGACCGTAGACAGTAGATAGTAGAGGGCAAGACCGTAGTCTGTAGACACTGGCCATGTGCTAAGAGTATCAGCGGTGGCAGTCAAGCAAAGTTGCTCGATGAGGACCATGTCAACAGAACAAGTCAGCCAGGTTCGTGACGCACCTCTCCACCTCGGTGATGTACTTAGTGAAGAAGCTGCCGCGCTCGTAAAGCATGTCCGAGCCCTGGCCGGCGAACAGCAGGCCCTGCTTCGTCAGCTTCTGCAGCACCAGGCGCGCCACCTCGCCCAAGTACATGCCGCTGATCATCTTCTCGAACAGCTGGCGGCCAGGGTTGATCGAGTGCTGGTCGATCTCGCGGTCGTACTCTGAAAGCGGCCGGCGGTGGTAGCGAGGGCCGACGCGGCGCCGAGAGCGACTCGGAGTCCAGCGCCGACAACGGCCGGATCCTGCCCGGGGCGGCTGGCGGCGGCAGCGGGCGCGTACCGCCAACCGGAGGTCACGCGCCGCTCGCTACCCTTTCCCCATCGGAACACCTCCAGGTTCAGCCCACCACTAGCACCACACACACAGTCCAGTGACCCCAGCTGCTGGGCCTCTGGGCCTAGCGCGCCGTAGCCGGCCGGCGCCCTCGACACGCGCCGCCCCGTCCGCCTCTCCAGCGCGTCCCGCCGGGTGCGCACGACCCAGACCCACCGCAGCTGACACGGCCGGCACACGCAGCGGCCCGTTAGCCAGCGGCGCCAGCAGCGAGACACGACGTCCCGCCGCAGACCGCCGGTGCCACCTACCGGTCAGCACCGAGTCGAGGTCGCCGCTGTCGCCGAACGCGCCCCACTCGGTGTTGATGAGCACCTGGCGCGGCTCGTCGCAGCTGCCGTCCCACAGGCCCACGTTCTCCAGCCGCTCCACGTAGCAGGCGTTGGTGCCGGTGCCTGCCGGTCGGCCCCCGGTCACGGCTCGTCGGATTAACACGACCCAGGCGCGATCACCAGCGCGAGCACGAGCACGAGCCCGCTCCGGCGCGTCCGAGTGGCACGGGCGGCGGGCGCACCGCCGCTCGGCGTGGGGCACCTCCTGTTACGCGTGGACCGCACGCTAGTCACCAGCCGGACGCGTGCGCCCACGGATCCCCAGTAACCCGCCTGTCATGCTCACTCTCAGGTAAACGTTGCGATGACCGGATGACCTGACGCATTGCTGGTGCTGGTAATACAGGAAACAACAACCAATGCAATGCCAATTCCACGTAAGGATAGGATGTGCTGGTCGCTGGACGTCACACGAGTACATTGGCACGCAACGCGGGAATCACACTTAAATGACCACAGCATCATACGCAATGAT